ATATTGGACTCTTTTACCTACCAGTTTCAAACACTTTGCCAACTCTCCAGTTAGCTTGCATCCATTGAGCTGCAGCAGGGGAAAGTCCTGCTGTGTGTTTTATGAAACGTGGTTCCCACGGTTATAAGACTGTGTTTTGGACCTGGCTGCTCAAGGAGTGCACACAGGTTGTAATATTGGCCACTTACTCTTTTTTCTTCTGACTAGCTCTTTTGCTCACTGTCATAGCCATTCTAGTCTGTCATCACTGTTAGTGTAAGGAGACCTGACCCTTAGGAAGCATCTATTAATAATACAAAACAATTTGCCAGTTGTCAGTGAAGATGTCCTCTGAGACTGGATGTTCTTAAGGAATTGCAAATTTTCTTAAGAGGGAGAGGTGCCTTCTTGTTGTAGAGCATGTTTTCTCTATTCTTCCACCTCATCTAATCATCTCATATAATTTCTGCATATAAATGGAGAGAAAGTCATGCCAGTTGTGCTAACTTTTGGATGCTCTTTCTGTGTGCAGTACTGAGCTACGGAGCGTTCTAGTTTTGTTTTTGAGACTTGTCAGATCATTTACTTGGGTCTGTATCTGTAAATGTGTGCAACACAAGGTATAGGAAATCATTATGGTTTTAGAAGTTTAGTTTGTTTTGAAAACAGTGTGTTTGGAGATCTTGATTTGCTCAGGTTTGTTACATCCCCCTTGGGTTGTATAACTCCTATGTTGAGTTCCTTTAGAAGACAAAAGGTAAATAGGATGATTTTGTTTATTTCTTAACAAAATTTTAAAGGGAAACTTATATACAGTCTGGAATCCCAGTCCTCAGGACATTTGTAATAGAAGTCTGCCCATTATTTACAGGATATGAAAAATCCTGGCAGATATTTAAATTTTAGCAGCTGCAAGGTGAAGTGAAACATTGAGTTTCTTGGCTAGAATTAGAGTATATCAGTCAGTTTGGTAACACTGGTTCTCGTGTTGGTCAAAAAACTGATTCATGATTAAATATTTATTTAGCAAATAAATATTTGAAAAATGAATTCTACTTGATGAATGCTATTTAGTAGACTAAAATCTTTCAAATGGACTCTGGGAAGAGATGGCTGCAGTGACAGATAGTTCTGTAGGACTATTATCCACAGTGATTGTCATCACAGGAAGCCGATGCTGTGTGGACCTGGACTGCTTTCTTGCTGTCTGCTGAGGCTTTTCCAGTGTTAGTCTTGGGTTATGAGTAGCAAGACTAATGAGTGGAAAGGCAGGAATTTTGGACTATTCTCAGTTCATTTTAAGGTAGTCTGTAAAATGTTCTTTTTAAAAAAGTATATGTTCCCATTTTTGGTTTGGTAGGCACATAACCAGATAAATAAGGGACTCTGTGTGTGACTGTTGATACCAGATATAGATGGAGAAGGCACACAGATGTGATGGTGACTGTTGAGGAGGAGGAGGCAGATCTGAGAAAACACCCATATTATGTCACATTAGAATGTTCAGTGTGAGGGCCGAGCCTGTGGCGCACTCGGGAGAGTGCGGCGCTGGGAGCACAGCAGTGCTCCCACCGCGGGATAGGATGGCCGGTGCGCTCACTGGCTGAGCGCGGTGCGGCCGGTCACAAAAAGTACAAAAAAAAAAAAAAAGAATGTTCAGTGTGATCATTTAAAGAGCCAGTGTGAATTTTAAATGATAAGTATTTGGGTGCAAGTGTTCTTTGTACCTAAACTAGGTTTAAAAGTTACTCTCCTGGGACGGGAGTTACTTTGACATGATGAAAGGCAGAAGGAGCTTCTTGGCCTTAGACAAATGGACATCGTAGTCCTCTGGGGGATGAGGAGGAGGAAGGTAGGTCTTTTAAAGGTTGCTTTGACCTCTTCTCGGGTTTGGTTCTAATTATCTTCTGTGTTCAGAATGCAGGGCTTTTTAAATAAGTCAAGCAACCTCAGCTCCAGTTTTTTGCAAATGGTTCTTAAATGTGTCACTAATTCGGTAGATTTGGACTCAGATAACAGAATCACAATTTTTTTTTTTTTTTTTCCTTTTTTGTCTTTTTTCGTGACCGGTAACGGGATCACAACCCTCGGTGTCGTGCCCGCACCGCGCTCAACCAGTGAGCGGACCGGTCTCTATATGGGATCCGAACCCTGGGTGGGAGTGCCGCCCACGCTCCCAAGCGCCGCACTCTACCGAGTGTGCCACTGGGCCGGCCCAGAATCTCAAATTTTGAAGGATAAAAAGGACATTCAGTCAATATGCAGGTATAATCTCTTAATTATTAAAATATGTATATAAAGGGGCTCATAATGACCATCTTCTACCCTTGGGAACAAACAGTAAATGGTGCATGAGGAAAAAACGCAGCTGGGGGGAAAAGTACTTTTACTTTCGGTTTCTCTAGATATGCAGCGATACCAGCAGTCATGTTTGGGTTTCTGGGAACAAATAAGGGAACCAGAAAACGTAAGGGTCCCCTAGGCAGTTGTTAAAAACCGGAGTGGTTGCTGTTGCTGCCAGTGAAGCTCATTAGGTTGGAGCTATTTGCTTACATCAGGGACAACAACAGCAGTGTCAGGGCTGCACAGTCAGGCAATTACACACAGAAAACTGGGTTCACGGGAAAAGGGTAGAAGGAAGTGGTCTGTTTTTGGTGGGGCAGCCTGTAAGTCGAAAGCCTGCCAGGTGTTGGGCAGCAGCCTGAGCTGGGGACCCCTGGGTCTCACAGTGGCTCTCCCAGGCCTGTCCAGCCCGTTCTCTGCTGCCTTGTTTTGAATCAGTTCTACAGCATCAAAGGTATGATGAGACATCTTGTTTTGTAACTTGTTGAAGACTGCCAGTTGAATGGGGCCAATTTTCAGATAAGTAGGGGTGCTAATTACTGGCCCTGTCTAAATTTAGAGACACTTGCAAAGCATTTCAAAACCTATTCAGATTATAAGCCTCATTTAAGCTGCTCAAGCGGAAATTACAGTAGTAACTCCTAACATGTAGACGCAGAGGCCTCAAAGCTTGACAGTCTTATAGGTTCAGCTGTAGAAATGTTATCGTTTCTAACAGAAGTTGTATTGTTTTTAATAGAAGTTTACTTTTACGTTCACAGTACCACTTGACATTATTAAAAAAATAAAAGCATTTAGAAACTGTTTTGGAATGGCCAAGTGGATTGGACGCCCAGTGCTAATGACAAACAGCAGGAGGGCTCCAGAGGCCAGCCTGAGAGAGACTTTAACTTTAAAATTGCCGGACACGAACTCTATGCCACGTTTTGCTGAGCACTGGGCAGATGTAAAGTTTAGCAAGACACAGCCCTGCCCTTGATGCATCTGCTCAGAGTCTGGAGGAGGAGACCTCAAGGCTGAAATAATCTGGAACAGAGAAAGACGGATTTAAATACTTTTCCCACCTGTGAGCAAACTCTGTTCCTAGCTCAGCTTTGCAGAGTGCACCTTAGCACTTTGCAGGAGTTTCCTTAAGTCGCCTGCCTCCTCTGGCAGGCTCTGGGTCTAGGTCTGGGTGGGAGAGGTTAGTTTTTAGCAGACATTTATCAAGGATAATTAGTTCAGGGATTCAGCCAGCTCACCTTTCAGCCCCAAGCCCTGTGGTAAAGACGTTACTTTGAGCTTCTGTATATTGAATTGCGTGGTCCCTCCCACCTTCTTTTATCCAGGCCTCCCAGCATTTGTGTAGCTTGAACAGTCAGGAATAAAAGAGCTCAGCTCGCTTTAGAGTCAGCCCCTTAAGTGGCCTCAGATTGCTTTCTGGTCCCCAGTTCTGGTTTCCTCTGCGTGTGGTTGAACCCGGAAGGCTCCCATGGTGGGGTCCATGTTTTTCACAGGGGAGCTTTGAGGCTGGCCACCTGACTGGTTACCTCTGGCTGGGCAGGAGTGGAGACCCATGGCTTTTAAAAATGTACCATAAAATATTTGCTCCCACTACATACTTTTGCATTAGATGTCTCACTTAAAGGTTTCTCCTACCCCCCCCTCTATTTTAAATAGTGGTAGAGAAAGGTAACGTAATTGTCTGTTGGCCCTGGACACCCACCTCTTAGTAGTTCTCCAACATCTTTCAGAAATTGGGGTTATCTTGGCTTTGTGAAAGGAGGTTTTTGCACAGCTCATTCAGCATTGTTCAAGGCAGCAACACATCACTGAACAAATTGCCCCTTGCATATGCTAATCCCGCACTTAAAAGAACTCATTGTAACTTGTTCTCATGCTTTAGCCTAAGGGGAGATGGGAATTGAAGGGATGTCAGATCTTGTCATGTGACCCCAAAATATCTAAAATGCCTGTTTTCTTTGGGTCAACAGTTCCTATCAGCATATGCGAATGAAAGTATCTTGTGTGGTTTGTGGAAAAGATTATTTCTTGTTCCTGCTTTTGTGTATGGAAGCTGGCCTTGCTATTGAAGATTTGCTGGCTGAAATTCCCACTTTGGGTCTTAAATTTCAGTGCTATTGGCCAGGAACACCAAATCTTATTTTCAGCAATAAATTAAAAGAATTCAAAAGAGTTCCTTCATTGTTGCTGGAAAATGTGATTTGCTTTTTAGGAAACCATGCCGTTAATCCTACTGCTTCTTTTGTGTCTTTTTAGAGAGGTACACATTGACTCTTAACAGTTACAGATAATGTCTAATAGAGTAATCGCAAGCTTTGCTCATAGGCCATTTATGCCTGACCAGGAAGTCACAGTGGGAAGAAGAAAAACACAACCACATACAAACAGCAAGCTCTTATTCCTGTAACAGTAAATAGAACAGAAGCACATTTTGAATGAGGCCTGAAGGATCCACCAGGCTTTGGATGGTTTGATTGCAAAGTCAGGTTCCCCTTTTAAGTGCATAAACCTCTATAAGTGTTTGCCACCACAGTCTTTAGATGAGCCGAATTAAAGAGAATGAAAGGCTGTGTAGGTATCAGCTTTCTATAGCAGTTCCCCACATCCAGGTTGGGTTTTCATGTGTACAAAGAGGCTTGGGAACAAAATCTTTGATTAATTTTTTTGTCTCGCAGAGTAATTCCCTCCTGGTTCCAGACAGTCTCAGAGGCACAGACAAACGCAGAAATGGGCCTGAATTTTCCAACGACATCAAGAAAAGGAAGGTGGATGATAAAGACTCCAGCCATTATGTAAGTAAAGGACTTGAAATAATATTTGTTTGCTTACTGCTCCCCTTCTAAGCGAGTATCCAAGCGTACTGTAAGATCTTAGTGGTAATTCCACATTCCTTACAATAATACCATAAAGAGGATAGGTTCTTGCATTGTAGGATATCATTTCCCTTTAGGGCTGGAAGTTATTCTTCTGCCTGGTGCAGTATTACGTTTTAGACTTCTGCCTGTGCTGCTCATAACGGGATATGAAAGTACAGGGCTGGCTTTGTGGGCTGTGTGGTTGCACAGGACACTGCTCTTAGAATGGCCCCTCCCGGCACTTGGTGTTATGCTCAGGTCTCACCATCTTTGAATTCTCAGTTTTTAAACAAGGGCTCTGCATTTTCATTTTGTCCTGGGCTCTGCAAATTTGGTAGCCTCTCCTGCTAAAATAGAGTAAAAATTTTGGTGTCACAAATTACCTTTTTGGATGCTATCCTGATAATGTATTCAGGCTTGCGTTCAGGCTTGAGCTAGGTCTCAGGGCAGAGTTTTCCACGGTGATCTAAGTCTGTGGTAAAAATGGAAGAAAACTTGGGGTCATCTAGTTCAAACCCTGCAGATGAGGACTGTTGTCACTAATATAGATAAAACCACATTCAGGAGAGCAAGCCAATCCAAGTGGCTGTTGGCTCTGGTCTGGGGTCATAAACATTGCAGCCTCCATGTGACTTGGAGTTGCCTTGTGTAGTCCCATCTTTCAGGATGGATGTGTTCTCAGGAACAGTCTGAGAGCAGGATGCTGAATTGGGTCACTTCCCTGTCGCCATTGGAGAAAGAGGTGTGGCCCACAGAGTAGCAGAGGTGTCAACTGCAGGCTGTGTCCTGTGGAAGTTCAGTGGCTGGGCCTCTGTGTCTCTTGCTGGCTACCTCAAGCCTAGAGCCAACCGTCAGTAACATTTCTCGAGCACCAGGCTGAGTTAGTACCAGGTACCCTGTGCTTTTACATGGGTTATTTTATTGAGCTCTTACAACAACCAATGTATTTGGTATCATCACCTCTATTTCATAGATAAAGAAACAGTAGCTTGGAGCTTTGAACTGATTTGCTGAAGGTCACGGTTAGTGGCAGAGCTCTGAGGCAGCCCAGCTCCAGAATCCATATTCTTAATCACTGTGCTCAGATTTCCAAACCCAGTGTTAGGATTGGAAATTTTTCTAGAGGTCCTCAAATCGGTCCACACTTCGCACCATGGTTAGATAACACCCTAAGAAACAAAAGTTATTATTTGTCCTCACCCCAGCCCCAACCTTTTTAACATGTCATTCTTCCCTTATCTGTTGCCCAAAGCTGATGTCCTACACGTGTACTTCCATTTGTGATATTAAATGTTTATAAGCAAGTCAGAAGGTCCAGGACATGCAGAAATTGGGAAATTTACTGTCATATAATTCCACGTTGTTCTCAATGAGGCTCGTGTGTATGATAAGTTGTTTTAGTAGTGAGTGAGCTAGAATCTGTGGGTTGGCGCGATGGTTTTGTAACCTGCTTGTACTAGGTATCCTGGTTGGATAGGTGGTTGGGGGCCATGTTTTGAGATTGTGTTGGAGAATCCAGGGCAAAGGCTTCAGTTCTCAAATCTTCTGTGACAGGCATGTACTGTACTGTGAAAGTTTATATTTGCAGAAGGTTTCAATACAAAGCTAAGACTTAAATTACAGAAAACTTAAGGACGACTTTACACCTCCATTATAATAAAGTCATTGTTTGCTATTTTTTGCCAGTTCGGTCTGCACACTATGTTAGCCATTTTTATAATTTTTTTTCTAAAAGGGAAAAACTCTCAGTTTATATCCTTTCACCACCACCAACCTTAACACCTGAGGGCGTGCTTTTCTTTGGGCTTTACTAAGAGAAAATGAATTTTCTTTAGTATTAGTTTTTTTTCTTTATTCCATGAAAATATTTCTTTGAATGGACTTGCTTTGGATTACCTAGGCTTCCTCACTGGTCGTAATTTTATGTTGTTACTAGTGAATTAATTGCATGGTGCCTTTGTAACAATGACTAAAGTATATCTTGTAAGACACAATTGAAGAAAGTAAATTGGGTCTCCCATATGAAGTGCTTTTTGTGGTTAGAAAAAAAACATTTAAGACCTGAATTTAGAGTTAAGGGTAAACTTTCTAGTCTGGACATGTGGGCCCATGGAAGGCCAACGTGGGTAATATTTGCACTTGTACATATTAATATTTCTCAAGTATTGTTTGTGTGTTATTAAGTGACAATGACACCAGTAAAAGAATTGTTTAGATCCTGAATTAGGGACCTACTTCCTTTTCAAGAATTTAGATCCATTGAGCTGTCCTTCTTTCCCCACATGCCCCTTGTATTACTCTGCACTAAAGCACATAAGCCCTTTGGGTTAAGAAAGTAGACTTTTTTAGCCTGCCTCAAACTTGAAGCAGGAGTGATCACATCAGTAAATTGAACAGCTTTTCTGAATCTTTTCCAAACTCATTGTGACCTTGGAGTTTCCTCTGATTAGCAAATTTTACAGCTGTATGAAGAGACTACAAAAGTCCTATTGCAGGATGCCAGTGTCCCCTAAACATTGCCTTCTTCCTTCCATCTCCCCACAGATAATCTAAGCAGAAGAGGTTTATTCTTAGCATAAGGTTAGATCTTGGTTCCTTATTCTATCCAGTAGCTAGCTTTGTTGCTTTTAGGTTTGTATTTGTTTTGTTTTCACAGTAACCCTGTGGACAATTGGTGTAAGTAAATTTGTCTCTATAATCAGGAGTTGGCTGGCTGCCTTCAAGGTAATACATGTAAAAACAATGACATGAAGTTGTGTACTTAATTTGAAAGCAGGTGGAAAAAGAGCTCTGATATAAGGGAATGCAGATTTCTGGTTATAAGAGGAATTTTAGATTACAGGAGAGATTGGGCTGTCGCAAACATTTATTGAGCCCTTATGGTGTGCCACCTATTTGCAGGTAGCGGTAGCCCTCACCTGTGAGCAAGTTGTGACTGGGGAGCTGGTTTGCTGCTGCAGCAGAATTCCTGCCTGGAGCTTTGTATAGCCCCAGGTCAGCTGAGAAGCGTGGGGGAGTGGTATTGATTACCAGGGCTGGCAAGCTGGAAGAGCTCCTGCAGGCATGTCCCAGGGAGTTTCTTAACCTGTCTGCTACCAAGAACAATAGAAAGAGATTTAACTGGGCCTCAAACCCATTCTTAGCCTTTACTAAATGACATTAAAATTTCTTCTTTCCAGGAGAGCGATGGTGACAAAAGTGATGACAACTTAGTTGTGGATGTGTCTAATGAGGTAACCATTCTTTTCATCAAACTTGATCTTCAGAATGACTTGAGTAGTGTTGTGAGAAAAATCCAACAGTGAACGGATGAAGTAGAAACCCAGTGTTTTGGTCTCTTGCAACTTTATAGATGAAGCATTTAATGATTGTTCTTGTTCAGTGCAATAATAGCCTGACATCAACTTTTATTTCCTTTAAAAAAAAAATCTGTTTGCCTAGTCATTTCGGTTTTCTAAGTTGGTATCCGATTCCTCCTTCCTTCCAGTGCCTTCTAGGCAGAGTACCTGAGTGTGAGGAGGGTTGTGATTGCTTGTGGGTTGCTTTCTTTATGGTGTGCTCCCAGGTGTGTTTACAGACACCACCTTGTTCATGAAAACAGTGCTTTAGTTATGTTGCACAGCCTGAGCTAAAGGACTTTCAGCGTTCTCCTTTAATTTAGAGCAGTAGTGTGGAAGTAGAGTGTGTAAAGGGAAAGGGCTACTGTGATGGGCTAAGTCACGAAAACCTTTGATTATGCTCGTTCAGGACCCTTCTTCTCCACGCGCAAGCCCTGCCCACTCACCCCGGGAGAACGGAATCGACAAAAACCGCCTGCTGAAGAAAGACGCCTCGAGCAGCCCGGCATCCACGGCCTCCTCGGGAAGTTCCACTTCTTTGAAATCCAAAGAAATGAGCTTGGTAGGTAAAGAGAACTGGCACTTGCCTATTTAGCAGTGTGTGTGTGTGTGTGTGTGTGTGCGTGTGTGTTTGTGAATCAGAGGACCCTGAAGAATTTGAAACGGTGGCATTTTGCTGTTTGAGGGTTGTATCTGTAAGTGTTTAGAAGGGAAACTTATCTTTCTGTTCTTTGTCCCCGTGTGGTATTTCCTTTTTGCCTGTCAGTCATCTCTTTTGGGCCACGATGAGAGAGCGTGAACGGCCTTCCATGTTCATTGCCTCCTGTTCTTGGCACAAAGCTCTCTGAAACTTCCCAGCTGAAAATGCCCAAACAATTCAAACCTCTTACGTTCTAAGGGGTCCTCGTTTCGTTAAGCTGGCCACTTGCCTGGTAAACTGACCCACAGTTTGAGGGCATGTTGTGGAGCATGCCCCCAGTATTAGGGAGCTCATCAGAATGGTGATGTGCATCAGGGCCCATTCTTGTGGTCATTCATTCATTCAACAAACTTTGTGGCATGTGTCATCTCTTAACGCATAGCAACCCTGCAGTTAATCCCTACACAGTCCCCCTAGGCATTATCCTATTTCAGTGATGGAGAGGAATGCCTGAATGACTTGCCAAGGCTACGCAGCCTGTCCCAAGATCCAAGGCCAGATTCAATGCTCTTTGCCACACCGTAGCACTTCTTGGAGTGTGTTTTAAAAGACATGAATGGTTGAGAGGCAAAAGAGACGCCCTGTAACCCTGTTACTGTTTCGACTCCTGAAGGTGTTAAGTCTCTCATTTGCACTGGTGAGTCCACATTGATTATGTAGGCAAGTGGGCGGTGACACTTAACTCCAAAAGGTTATTCTTTTTAGGCATATATTTCAAACAAAATGATAAGGCTAGTTCTAGGGCTTTTGTTTGTGAGATGCTGGTTTGCTTCTCATAAAATCGATGGGCCTGCTGTCTTTCACTGTTAGTCTCAATCCCAGGGCTACAGAAAGCCCAGACTAGACAAGGGGTCTTCTCTTGGACATTCTTGGCGGCTGGGGCATGTATTTCTGAGTGATTGGGAACTGTTCTCTCGGTGGCCATCATTCTACATTGGATTTGGTCCAAAGTCCATAAGCCTGATGGAAAATACTTTTTAAAATAAAATCTGCGGAGGAAGAAGTGTGATCATGTTCTGTGTTTCTAGCTTGAGTTTTAATTCTGGCAGGAAGAGGAAAGGTCAACGTTTCTCGCTCACAAGTTAATGCTGTCAACATTGTGTGGATTTATGAAAATTGGCAGAGGGAGTAGCTAGAAGGTGCCCAGTGTCCCAGCTGCTGTTGTGATAAATTGTGTAATATGGCTTGGATTAAAAATAATACTCATTTAATTTGTTTAATGATACCAGCATGAAAAAGCCAGCACGCCTGTTCTGAAATCCAGCACACCGACGCCTCGGAGCGACATGCCAACCCCGGGCACCAGCGCCACTCCAGGACTGCGTCCAGGCCTCGGCAAGCCTCCAGCCATGGACCCCCTCGTCAACCAAGCGGGTAGAGCCTCGCCTCTTGTTGGGCTGTGTTTTGTTTCTCCCTTTCCCAGCCTGATTTGTTGTCTGTTAACTTCTCCACGCATGTGAAATGCACTTAGGGCCACTCTCCTTCCTATCTCTGAAAAAGCCGTGATAAGAAACAGATGTTTGTCCTTGGGTTTCAGCAGCTGCACCCTGTTCTGTCTCCGACTGTTTACATTCAGCTTTTCTTTTATTTCCAAATAATCTGAATCGTAGGGACTCCAGTAAAGTTTCTGATGATTATTCTGAACACACGCTCCTTACCAAACTCTCATTACGTGTCTGACTTTGCTAATATTGACTGAAACGGCAGGTTTGGCTGGCACAGGTGTGCTTCTTGCTGACTGTAGTTGGCTGGTTTTCTGCTGGTCCTTCCTTCAGGAGTCAGTGGTCTCTCCAGTAGGAATTGGGAGGGTTTCACTGAGACTCCAGCCAATGAGTAAACTCAAAACTTTCAACTTGATTTCCCCCACTGGGAAAGGAAAAAAACAGCAACCTGGGCCCAGAGGAAGATAAGCACCAGAATATTCCTCTTAAACCTGTGCTTTGGTTTACATAAATCCAGGACTGGGTTTTCATTTGGAATTGCAACCAGGGAATGGAAAGTTCAGACTGAAGGAGAAGTCTTGGATTTTATTAAGAAAATCTTCTTTTGATATCAAGTCAGATAAACACTGAGTGCCTGTGCCTTGGTTGTTTTCCCTTTGTAAATTGGGTACAGTGATGCCACTTAATTCCCGAGGATTCCCAGTGCTGCCAAGTACACCAATGAGAAAATTGTGCTTCCCTGGGGTTCTTTTCTTCCTTGGAGATGAATTCAGCTCTGGGGAGGAAGAATGGATCCAGCCTATGAATTGGAGGTGATTGCTCCTGTCCCTGGAAGCCTTCCCTCTCCCCCCTTCTTCCTCTCTCCCCGTGTTGAGTGACACTAATAGATGACACTAAAACTGCTGGTCAGGTTTGAGTTATGGGCGCTTGTGTTTCCTTTCAGCAGCCGGTTTGAGGACGCCCCTGGCAGTGCCCGGCCCATACCCTGCTCCCTTCGGGATGGTTCCCCACGCGGGCATGAACGGCGAGCTGACCAGCCCCGGCGCCGCCTATGCCAGCTTGCACAACATGTCCCCCCAGATGAGTGCCGCCGCCGCTGCAGCCGCCGTGGTGGCCTACGGGCGCTCCCCGATGGTAGGCCACCGCCAGCCCCACACTGCTCCAGACACAGACCAGTGTCCCCCCTCTCTTGCCTTCCTCCTGCCAGCTTTCATCAACACGCTGGGCCAGATGCTTTTTGTTTTACTGTTTTCATAGATGAAAAAAGGCAGCGTTTAGAGGTTCCTTCAGTGGTTCAGGGGACATCTGGTTTGCTCCCACCAAAGTAGAATTTTTTATTTGAAGGCAGTGAGATGATTCAAGTGGCTCACAGAAGCCTTTTCATTCGTTTTCTTGAGGTGGTTTCTTTTCTCTCTTTAAGCCTCAGGAAAAAACATTCAAGAAGCCACAGCTTTCTCTTCCCGTGCCTGTGTTACTCTTCACACATGATAGTGTGACTCATGCATAAGAAGTGACCTTGGTGCAGCAGGTAGAAAGACAGGTGGTGTTGGGCCGGCGTGGTGGTGCACTGGAGAGTGCGCTCCCGCTGAGGGTTCGGATCCCATGTCGAGACCGGTTCCCGCTCACTGGCTGAGTGTGGTGCGGGCGCGACACCGAGGGTTGCGATCCCATTGCCGGTCCCCGGTACGGGCACGACACCGAGGGTTGCGATCCCGTTACCGGTCAGTAAAAAAGACAAAAAGGGAAAAAAAAAAAAGAAAGACAGGTGGTGTGAGGCCATGGGGTGTGAGGCAGGCTCTGCCTTCTGCCACTATGCAAATAGCCTCATTTTTGACCAAAAAGATACAAAACTGCATTTGAAGGGTATGACTGATTGTGCATCATTACTGACTGCATCAGAAAAAGGGTGTAGATTATCACCCATAGTAAATTAATGTCCTCGAATAATTTCTGCTGGCTGTTTGAAATGTCCCGTACCTTTCCCTCTTCTCCCCTCTTAAGATAGCATTACCTCCAATAGTTTGGGGTGTTATTAGAGTTCCTTGTTGTTTCCTCCTGTTACACTCATAGGAAAGGTTGTGTAGTGTAGGGCAGAGAGTTCAGGTGAGGAGGGAAGCTTAGAATGCTGTCCTGAGGGTGCACAAAGTAGGAGATCGACGAATGAATCCTTAAGTAATAACTTAGGCCAGTGCTATGCAGCTACAGGTGACTTTCCTCCTTGGGGACATTTGGTAGTATCTGGAGACATTTTTGATTATCACAACTGAGGGGGATGCTATTGGCACATAGAGGGTAGAAGCCAGGGATGCTATGGAATGTGCTCCAGTACCCCGGACAGCCCTCCACGAAGAGAACTGTCTGGCCAAAACGTCAGTAGTGTCAGAGCTGAGAAATCCTGACTTACACATTGCTCTCTGCTTGCTCGGGCAAAGCAGAACGTCCTAAATCTGCAGGAAGTACAAGGGCAGTTCAAAAAGTTTGTGGAAAAATAGAAATAAAGAATACGAGTCTTTCCGTGAACTTTTCTTTCCGTGAACTTTTTGAAGTACGCTTGTGTTTACCATGGGAAGCTGGTTCTCGGTGCCTAAATAGATCCACCTTCCCCAAAAGAAGTGTGTCTTGTGGTGTTTAGAGGTGGTTATATTACTTCTTGCATTACTTTTTCTGTTAAGTGTTAGGCCCTGTTATTATTCCTTCCCATTTATATTGCTTTGGGGATATATGAATTTCTATGAAAAGTCTTTGTCCATGTTTACAAAGTGCCTGCCTTGCCTGCACTGAGTCTGCAACACTTTATCTTTGTTTCCAGGTGGGGTTTGATCCTCCCCCTCACATGAGAGTACCTTCCATCCCTCCAAACCTGGCAGGAATCCCTGGGGGGAAACCGTAAGTACCTTTAAGGCCTCAGTTTTACTTTAAAGGCGGTTTGCTCCAGTCATGGGTATTAGCAGACTAGAATTCCAAAGCGAGCATAAGCTTGGGCGTTTCCAAGGAGATTTCTGGTGTCTTTTCCTGAGGAGTATTAACACTTTCTATAAATGGCAACTTGTAGGTGTCATGCCTCTGTCCGCTCATTGTGGGTGATTTCATACGTCTAGTTATTTCTGGGGAGAAGCCATTGGGGTGGGGGTGAGACGGAGGAAAGAGCTGGAGGAGGCTGGCCCTCGCACTTGACCCGTCTGCAGAGAGCTGCTGTGCTTTGCCACTTGGTTAGAGGGTAGCTGCGGAGGTCTTGTACAGTGCTGTGCCACAGGCAGTGAGCTGTCACGAACGCTTGCAATCTCAGAAATTCAAAATGTGTCATCTCTTTACCTGACTCAGTGCCACCTTTTTCTTATGTTAGTAGAAATGAGTTATTTGAAGAATAGGTTCTGTTGGATGCCAACATCCCAGGTTGATCCCCAAGTAAAGTTTTGGTGAGTACTTTAAAGCAAAGAGGCCTTTTGGGGAAGTAAAAAAGTAGGTTAAAGGGCACGAAAGCATTCAGAATTAGAAATGTGTCTTAGGCCTCCAGTTTGTGTGTCACACCCCATGCCGTCACGTTCACGTGGTTGCTTTCGGCTTTTATCTGTGCATCACTTGCATATCACAGTGCATTATTTTGAGCAATCCTTTCAACTACATGTCGTCCTTGTGTGGATTTGATTAGAGCCTTGTTTCAAATAAACCACCAGCATAAGAAAAAATTGAATTCCTTACCCAGTCACCTGCCTTTTAGGACAGCACATTCCCATTGCTCCACCTTTCATGCGTTGTGATATCTATTTCACGGTAATTTGATGCATGATGAAATCAAGTTCACGAGGCTTTTGTCTACACTAGGAATTAGTAGAGATGTTAAGAGTTTAAAGTGACATGTAGGCTCAGGGAAGAACGAGATGGTGGGGTGGGGTGGGCAGTGTTGCCAAAAGCTTACTTGGCGGATAGATCGCTTCTGATTGTACCTGTGAACTATCGTGTTGTGTGTTTTCTTGGGAATGTCCCCCTGCTTCCAGCCTGGGATGTCCTCAGGGAACTGCCGGGTATTTCTTATCTGTGGTTGCCAGCACTATAGTGTTGAGTGTTGTACTGATTGGTGAATGGATGAAGGGCAGACGAGTGATGTGGCAACAAGAAGCAGTAATAATAGTAGCTGATGAATCTTTGGGGGAATAAGACAAGTGAGGCCAAGTTCAGCCGACCCTTACGGAATGCCAGTTTCAAGAGTCAGAGGTATGGGTTGTGTCCAGCTGCCAAAACCCCACCTTGAATGTGATCTGGGAGGCAGTTGGGGGGTGGGGGGGTGCGGGTAGAGCTATGAGCTGTCATGCTGGTGTGTAGGGCATAGTTAACCTGGACCCTGTTCCTTACCATTGTGTGCATGTGTGGGTATGGGGGTGTTAATAACATCATTAAATGCAAAAGACAGTGTGGTGTGATGCTGTAGATAAGGCCAAAATATTTATATCCTTTGCTAGTGAGCACCTTGCATTCCTTTGTGTTCAAAACTGTGTGAGCTAGAATTACAGCATGCCTAGGGACAAGGACAGTGGACATAGCAGCAAAGTTGTGAGACTCGTGTATAAGGGGGCTTTTCTAGTCTTGGTCAAAGTGGCCACTGGTCTCTGGATCTGAGTGGTCACTGCTCTCTCTAACCTAGTTAACATATATTTTTTAGGATTCCTTTTGTTTGAAGTGAGCCAGATTATGTGAGGGAGATAGAATTAATTAGCGTCAGTGGGAATCTGGGCTATATAGTCTTATCCCTGTGTTGATCCATTAATTAGCATGACAAGACTTGCTGTTCTTAGCACTTAGTGAAGTAATACTGCCTGAGGCGGTGCCTCTCAAACCACTGTTTTTCTCCAGTATGTCAGAGATTGATACTTTTGTAACAATAAAAATGAATGGAGGAAAAAGATACAAAACCTAAGTCCTGACTTCTTTGTGTTAGGAGTCAACAGTCGTGGGCTAACTGTCCCTTGCTGTGTAAACGTTTCTAGATGCTTACCCTCATGGCAGACAGTGGCGGGTGTTTGCAGACCACATGTTACTTTGGGCTGGTCTGAGGCACTTAAGTGAATTGAGGGCGAGTGGTACGTGCAGGGTGTGGTGAGCACAGTGGTAAAGGTTGTACAGATAACTTATCTGACAAGCACCTGCTAAAGCATGTTTGGGTCGGTTGGGTGGAAGGCAGGGTCCTCCTGGACTGGAGCGAGCAGGAGCAGCGGCTCAGACTGTGCAGAGGTCCAAGTGCTCACTCCCTGCCTTTGGGGACCTGACGATGTGGTCTTTAAAAGAATGATGAATACCGGAGCTAAACTTGGGATAACTGCTGTGGGGCAGAGCACATATAGAGAAATGACAGAAATTAGGGTGAGGACGACGTCAGTGGAAGCTGAAGCAAGTACAGAAAGGACTGAGTCTACTGGGGTGCAGGGACGGGGATGGCATGTGTCACCCAGGGAGAAAGAGCTGGGGGAATCACTTGCAGTGCACGTGCGTGTGCACCTTCCCAGAGTGTTCCAGCCAGAGTTCAGTTGGGGCCTGGAGGAAACTGAAGCCTGATTAGAGTAAGTGCTCATCTGTGGTTCAAGTCCACTGTGACAGCCTCGCCGAGTGACGGTGCCTCTGCCCATGCATGTCCAGCTATGGGACCCATGGCCGTCATCACCATGTGAAGACCCATCCTGCCCTTGAGCTGAAATCTGTCTCCCTGGAACGTGGACCCACCAATCCTGGTTCTTTCCTGCCCCCTGAGACCACACAATGCACAGCTAATCCATCATCCTCTGACAGCTCTTCAGATACTTGGAGACCTCCGTGGCACCATGAGAATTTTCTGTGGCTGAATTTGTCCGTTGCTGTAGCCCTGTCTGGGGTATGATGTCAGGTTCCCACATCATCTGCTCACAACATCTAGAGGCCGCCGCCTCAGATTTCATGGAGACCCACAGCATAGGCGCAGGGGCCCTGTTGGGAGCTCACAGCCTTGCTTAGCGGTGGTGTGTGTGTGGGGGGGGGAACGTTTCTTGTCTATACTCTTGGTCTCCAGCTGGGCCCAAGAGTGAAACTGACATAAGACACGTTATCAGGAGAAGAGCATGCAGGTTTTCTTAAAATTCTACATGTACGTGGTAGGCCTCCCTCATGAGAAGAGGAAGAACCCAAGAAGTGGCCAGAGCAGATGGCTTGTGTACCTTTTATACAAGGAAACAGTAAATTTGTGAAGAAATGATAAGAGAAAAGCATTTGGGCTGGAGGCAGTAGATTGTGGGGAAGTGAGTGAGAGAGACACTGGGGAAGACTGGAGAAGACAGGGTTATTTTGGTAAGTTTGTCCAGGTCCATCTCAGTGTCGATTCCCAGACTCTGGTGAGAAGCGTGTTCTTCTCTTCCTCATATAGGAAAGGCACTTTTCTCCATGGAAGTTTGATGAACTGTTTTTGTGTAGAAAGGGGGAGTTCAGAAAGTCCTTCCTGCATCTTTCATTTCTCAGGTGCCTTCAGCTCAAAATAATAAATATGCCAAAGCAACCTATTTTGAGATTTCATGTCCTGAACTTATAAATTCTAAGTTTATAACTTATGAATGCAGAATTACAGTAGAGGTAAGAGCATTGTTCTGAACCCTGTTCTATGCTTCCACACCCTGTTCTGTGACAGGTTGGGGGGCTGATCCCATTGAGGAGGGTCAAGGATGAATTCCCTGCAAAAGTATTTTCAGAGCTGCATTAATTAACCCAGTAGGGGCAGGGAGTGATCCTCTAGGGGGAGGGACCAGCTGTGCAAAGGCCCCGTGGTCACACATGGTTTTTATCAGAGTGGAGCAGAGCAAGATAACTCATGCCACCACCGTTCCACACTCTTGTGTCTAGTGTTGCAATGACCTAAGATCTCAGTAGATTTTCCTAACCAGTCCAGTCATTTTTCCTCCCTCCCTCTTAACCACACCTTAGCCTTAGATTCCCCCTTGTTTAATTCATTTTTTTTAACCCAGTCTTATTTTTTGTTAAAATTCTCACCTTTTTTATACCCACTTTTGACAGTACAATCCCAGATGAGTTTGGTCTCCCTTCTTCATTTCTTGCTCAGAGATCTTCAAGGCCCCACAGGTTATATCACCCTGTATATCTTGAAATATCATGTGCTGACCAGATGAGATAACTTCGATTCTCTGATGATGCCTGCTGCCTCCACCTGGAGCTCCTGTCCTGCTCACTACTCTCCACCTGTTCCTGTGCAAGTACTTTCTATCCCTCAGAGACCACCTCAGTGACTGCCTTTAGGAAGCCCTGGCAATTGCCTTACCATATGTGATCTCTCTCCTGTAGCCCCTTGTGGTGTCTTTTGACATTGTTACACTTTGACCATGGGCTGTAGTAATCATGTGTACAACTCATGTTTCTGTCTGCCTCCTCCCCAGTAGAATTGAAGTTCCTGAAGCCTGCTTGTCCCCTTGAGCAGAGATACCAGTGGCATTGAATAAGTGGGAGATAAGTCCTGGCCTGTGTAAGACCTTGTGATTCAAACTTTTAGAACAGATTCATATTTTGCATTTTACAATTAAGTGTTGATTTATTAAGAGGTAACCCTGACAATTGTTTTCAGACCCTTGAGGCTAGATTTAATTGGTAGTGTTTAGTCAGCTTAACATGAATTTGGTTTTAGTTTTAGGACATTTCTCCCTCCGAGCTCTGTGGAGATCACTGGTAAGAGAAATTCCAGTTTAGTTAGACTTTTTTTTCTGGCCCTGTAGCACTACTTTTCTCCCCTTAAATACCTGGGGGCTCTTCTCTACCTGCCTCGTGTAGTAGCACCTAGAGGTCAGTAATAACTCAAAATAATAATAGTTTGGTTTTTAAGATTCTAGGTTAGTTCAAGGTTTCTTTACCCTGTGTTTTAACAC